TAGCTCCTTGCAATTCCAAGTGTGGTCCACAGACCAGCAGCATCAGCGCCGTTAGCTTGTTAGGCAGTATCTCAGGCCTCACATCAAACCTACCAGCACAGAATCTGCATTTTAACGAGGTCCCCAGTTGATTAGTATGCGCACTAGAATTAGAAAACTGCCCTCAGCGACATTAGGTTGTATGTGCTCAGTTGTAACCTAAATTGAAGAAATTCCTTCACAACCCATCCGGTACCACTGGCCCCTTGCTGTTGAGTGTAGGTAGGGGGACCCTGTTTTTTTTTTTTTTGTTTTTTTTTTTTAATTTTTTTTTTTCAACGTTTATTTATTTTTGGGACAGAGAGAGACAGAGCATGAACGGGGGAGGGGCAGAGAGAGAGGGAGACACAGAATCGGAAACAGGCTCCAGGCTCTGAGCCATCAGCCCAGAGCCTGAGGCGGGGCTCGAACTCACGGACCGCGAGATCGTGACCTGGCTGAAGTCGGACGCTTAACCGACTGCGCCACCCAGGCGCCCAGGGGGACCCTGTTTTTAATCCACTTTAGTCCGGCCACCAGTCGGCTGGAGAACATATGTGGTGGAAAGGACTGGAAGATGACTTACCAGTGAGGATCACTGATTTAACTTGGAATTAGAAGCCAAGATGGAGGTCACGGTCTGGGAGGCAGTGAGCCTCCAGTTAGGACTGCATCCCATCCTTCCCAGGCCTGAGCCTAGAGCCTGAGCAATGCGCAGGAAAGTGGTCCTGCTTTTCTTCCCCCAGCCCTTTTGCTCATTTTAGAAAGCCGTCCTCTTCATCATTTGGGTCTTTGTGCCTCCTGGTCTTGTTGATATACTGTTGCCAGAATAAAGAGGACTCTCTGTGCTGAGTGTGAAACAGCCACTTGAGCTAGCTTTAAGTCCACAAGGGTGTCTCTTAGAAGCCACCACCAGGCATGCATCCAGGCTGAGGTACAGCTAGAACCAAACACCTGGGGGCCTTCATCTGCCCACTGCTGTGCTCTGCATGACTCTTCCCTTTCTGCACAACAGCCCCTCTGCTCGCTCTCCCCGGGCCACCACCTGCCACTCCTGGGCAGTTCTAAAGATCAGAAGTAGTCTGGCTCCAATTCTGGCAGATGCAGTGTTAAGATGGAAGGGAAGGGAAGGGAAGGGAAGGGAAGGGAAGGGAAGGGAAGGGACAGTGTAGTGATCCCGGCAACGGACTCTACAGGGGATAGGGACGGCTGTGAGGAAGCGCCTGCTCACTAGAACCTTCGTGGCCCAGGGGCGCCTGGGTGGCTCAGTCGGTTGAGCATCCGACTTCGGCTCAGGTCATGATCTCACGGTTTGTGGGTTGGAGCCCCGTGTCGTGTTCTGGGCTGACAGCTTGGAGCCAGGAGCCTGCTTCCGATTCTGTGTCTCCCTCTCTCTCTGCCCCTCCCCCACTCATGCTCTATCTCTCTCTACCTCTCAAAAATAAAGAAACGTAATAAAAAAAAAAAAAAAAAAAAAAAAAAAAAAAGAACCTTCGTGGTCCATAAGGCACCAGCACAGGAAACAAACTTACTTTTTTCTGGTCACCTATTAGCTGCGAAGCACCGAGCTAATCACCTCGCATGCTCTCTCTTCTCATCTTCACACATAAAAAATCTCCTAATCTCCTACAAGGGTACTATTAACTCCATTTTACAGATTCGAAACTGAAGCCCCAAATCATTATATTACCTGCCGGAGGTGGCAGAGGCAGAATTGAAGAGGGCTATGGATCTTTCTATCCTACCAGAGTGTCCCCGGCACATAAGTCAGGGCCACAGTCAGTATCACTGACTGATCAAAGTGCCAACTATGAACTTGGCCAACCTGGTATCCTCATAGGTGACTCTGGAAATGTCCCTGACTCCAGAAAAACAAGATTTTCAAACACAGCCCATTGGACCTGGTCACTTAGATTCTGCTCACCCCAAACCATGGCCAAAGTCAGTGGCTGACAAGCAGTGCCCCTTGATGGGAAAGGCAGGGCCAGGTGAATAGCCAGGCAACCTGGTCTCTTGAGACAGGTCAGTGGGTGGTGAGTCAGGGGGTTATAAAAGGCGTATGGCCCCAGCCAGCTCTGCCCCAAATACTCAGCTGACGAAACCCCCTGCAAACCCCTCTCTGCGCCCCTGCCTGACTCAGGGAGGAGGAGCACATCAGCCCTCCTCAGGGAGGGGGGGGGCCAACTTGGCAGGCCCCAGGACTAGCATTGTGCACGGTTTGTTCCAGCACTGATGGCTGTGCCTGGGCTCATGGGCTATATTCAGGGCTGAGTCACCAGCCTGCTCCTGGGTCAGGCTGACTATGACTGGCTGGCTGGGGCCTGAGTCAGGCCCCGATTTATCCTGGAGAGCAACAGGTTCGGGTTTCTGTGGGAGGGGGTGAGAAGGATGCCGGGAACCATCCTTGGCACTGGGCACCCTTGTCTGCCAACCATTCACTTACTCCTCTGGGGCTGCACACAAACCTCTCTTGCAGGGAGGGTAGGAGAAGAGGGAGAGAGGGGAGAAAGAGAGGGTAGGCTACACTTGGGAGTTCTTTCTTCACTCACCGGCTTCCCTCTGAAATCCTCCCTCCTTAACGGATGCCCTCAACTTACTGGGGGACCTCAGGTAATGCCCACAAAATGGGACTGTGAGCCATTAGAGTTTGTAAAGAGGCTGTCAGCTCCAAGCAAACCCACCCTACTCCTCTCTCTCCTCCCCAGGAGAGCTGTCTCAGATCTGTACCTCAGTTTCCTCATCTGGGCTTCAATGACAACCTCGCTGAACCCTGAGCTGGCACCTCAGACTGGGTGTCAAATGTCTACGTTTTTACACACACACACACACACACACACACACACACACACGTACACCCCTCCCTCCCTGTGAGACCGAGCTATGTGTCATGTGTCCCCAGCTGGGCATCTCTCCACAGGAGAGCTCAGCCTCTCAAGTAGATGGTCAGTACTGATGCCTGATGGTTGGTTTTGGACATGGGACAAAGGTGGCATGGGGGGGAATGAGAGTTCTGGAGATGGGGGCGTGCCAATAGGAGAGTGGGATTCCTGAGCACCTCGTCACAGGCAGCCGACAGAACATGAGCCGCAGGGCCCAAGCTATTTATACCTCGCCTGTCATTATCAGGGCCCCCAGAGCTCCCCCCTCCCAAGCCACGCACAGCAGGTCCCTCTTCTGTTTCTGGTCCCTTCTCTACTCCTCCCCCTCCCTACCTAATGAGAAGGGAAAGAAATCATTCATGGACTCCTTTTGCCATAAGCACTGCCCCCCCCCAAACCCCCCTTTTTCTGAACTCCATAACAGGGACTGCCTTCATTCTGCCCTTGAAGAGACAGCCCTCAAAGATGCCCACGGTCTGCTTCCTTTCCAAACACTGCCTGGGGGTAGAAGAGGAATAAGATAGAATGATTCACCTAGAAGGTCCCAGAACCTTCTCAAATGTCAATCATCAAACAGCTTGAGTTGGGGAATGTCTGGCCCAACCTTACTGTGTCAAGAGGGATGGGGCAGCTGAGGAAGTTTGGCCTAAAAGGGGTACCAGGAGATATGGAATACATGTACGCTACACAGAATTGCAGGCTATATATTCTCTATATAAGTACATTTGATAGCTCTTTCCCCTCACTCCAAGCAGCTCCTCTGAGTGCCTCAGTTTCCTTGCTGTCACCATACCCTAGGCCTCCAGCTGCCCTTGGCTTACCCTGAGCCCAGTCCCGCCTAGGCTTTCTGGCTGGCTCCCTTGGGCTCTCCCTGCCCACCAGCCCCGTCACGTTTCCCCTTGGCTGTTCTGGGCAAGGCTCTCCCTGTTTCTGTCTGGCTAACCCGCCCTTTTGCTGGAAGGATCTGCCTTGCGGCCCAAATGGGCACATTGCCCAGGGGGCTCCCTGGCACAACGGGCAGTCTCTCCTTGCCCTCTCATCACCTTGGTTGAGTCAGACATGGAGGGGGGAACACGGTGTGACTCATTGGGTACTATCTTCCTGAGCTCAGCTTCATTCTGAGGGGATGAGGCCAAGCAGGCTGGTGACAGGGACACTGAGTCAGGGGCAGCCTCAGTCTTTCCCCTGGGACCCTGGGTTTGGGCTTCAAATGAGGCTTTTCTACCTGTAAAGTGGAGCACCCCCAAGCCTTCTTCCTAATCGGCCTGGGCAGTGTCCCTGCTTCCTCTCAGCCCATCTGTACACAAGCACACACACTTCCTTTCCCCTGCAGGTGGACAATACCCTGGGCCAGGAGCCAGGACTCCCAGGCCCTGTCAACGGCCCTGCCACCAATTCATCCAGAAAATTCTGTCAGCACGACTTCAGTGTGTTTTGCCCCAACCGCTAGCCTCAGTTTCCCCATTATGTCTTTAGTCCCACAGCGTATGAAGGGGGTGTATTTCATCTTCGTCTGGCGACGCTCAGTTTGGGGGTATAGGGTGCGCTCACCCCTCGCCTTTCCGCTCTGCGATCCACCTCCCCAGAGCGGCTGCGCAGGACGGAGCCCGCCTGGGCCGCAGACCCAGGCCGAGGCTGGGGGGCGTGTGTTGGGGTGGGGGGAGCCCTCCCGCCACCCGGGCCCTGTTGGGGGAGGGGAGGAAGGAGGCGGGGCCGCCCGCTCCGCTCAGCCCCCACCCGCGGGCCGGGCGGCATTCCTGGGAGGCCGGCGCTCTGACGTGGACTCGGGGGCCGCAAGCGTGGCGTGGGGGGGGCGCGGCCCCAGGGGCTTCTTAAACCCCCCGCCCCGGCCCGGCCCGCACTTCCCGAGCACTGCTCCGCCCCCGGAGGGAGAGAGAGAGAGACAGAGAGAGCGCGGCCGAGGAGCCGAGGAGGCCAGCCGAGTCCCACCAGCCAGGGCGCGAGACAAGTTGAGAGCAGCGCAGCGCAGAGCTGCGAGTCCCGCGGTCGCGCCCCGACAGCGCCCCGACAGCGCCCCAGCCCCAGCCCCAGCCCAGCCCGAGCCCAGCAGGCAGAGCAGCCCCCGCCCCAGCCCGCGCCAGCATGATGAACAACAGCAGCTACTCAGAGGCCGCCGGCCTCGGCCTGGGCGACGAGGTGGACGACATGCCGTCCACGGAGAAGGACCTGGCCGAGGACGCGCCGTGGAAGAAGATCCAGCAGAACACGTTCACGCGCTGGTGCAACGAGCACCTGAAGTGTGTGGGCAAGCGCCTGACCGACCTGCAGCGAGACCTCAGCGACGGGCTGCGCCTCATCGCGCTGCTCGAGGTGCTCAGCCAGAAGCGCATGTATCGCAAGTTCCACCCGCGCCCCAACTTCCGCCAGATGAAGCTGGAGAACGTGTCCGTGGCCCTCGAGTTCCTGGAGCGCGAGCACATCAAGCTCGTGTCCATCGGTCAGTGCGGGCGAGCAGTGCACGGACACAGCGGGGAGGGGGAAGTGCCCCAAGAAAGGGCTGGCCCCTGGGGGCGGCGGACACAGGTGCTGGGTGGGTGCCGGGAGCTGAGATAGGACAGAGAGTGGCCCCCTGGCCCAGGGAGAGGGCCCTGGTCCCTGCTTTCCTGCCATCAATGCAGGCCCTATGGGCAGTGCCTTCACACCCCTCTGTCCCTTCAGCGGAATATTGGGGTTCCCCAGGGGAGTCCACACCTACCGTTTCTAAGTCGTCCAGCTCAGCCTCCCGGCACACACTCCCATCAACCCGCCTCTACTCATTGTCCCCTTTCTTGCCATGGGGCCATCCCAGCCCATGCTTGAGAAGACAGGGTGCCCATTACTGATTCCTGGGGGGCATTTACTCCCTAAACAAAGCAAAGAGCTTCTTTGCCTCCCAGCACGTCCTTGGGGGAGAAGCAGGCTGAAGGCAGGTCAGGGAAGCTGGTGGCTAGGCAGGCATGGGGGGGGGGGGCAGGCGGGCTCCACAGGCCTGTGCTTAGCAGCTGGGTTCAGGCCCCTGGGCCAGGGCAGGCAGGGCCCAGCCTCAGAAGCCTAAAAAGGCACTAAGAGAGGGCAGAAAGCCTTAACCCCTGCCTATCCACCTCCTGCTTTAGTCTGCGCAGGAGGGTGCTCCCCTAAGTCCATGCCAGGCCCCAGCCCACTCCCTAGGACTGGATTGGCTGCAGCTAACTGTCTGGGTTGAGAGGAGGGAGGGGAAGGCCTGTAGAAGGGAGGAAGTCATTGAGTGTAACCAGATTTGGAAGGTGTACCAGTGCTGGTGGGGGTGGGGAAGCGCTCCAGGCTTGGGAGCTTGGGGAGCTGAGGGTGGGCTCTGAGTGGTCAGAGGCTGCTCCTCCCCTCACAGCCCTGCAGTCCTCCCTGCTGGCTGGGGGCCTAGGGAAGACCCCCTACCCCAGTGGTGAGCTCTTAAGAGTCTTGCTGTGATTTACAGGAAAGGGCCCCTTGGGGTGCACCCCAAAACCCCAGGAGAAGAGTTTCACATGGGGTCCGATGCCTTCCCCCACCAGGCTACCCCAAAGATAATTGAATATCTGTCCACCCCCACTCTCCCTCAGGGCATCTCTAGGCCTCCTGAATTAGCAGCTGAAGTCAGTCCGGGGCCCTTTGCCCTGTCCAGTCCCCTCTCTAGGCCTTACCCCTCCTGCCCCAATACTGCCCCCCCACCCCACCCGCTCTGGCCTGGAAATAGCCCTGCCTCCGTGACACAGCAGATGTCTCTGAGCTTTCCAGAAGGACAAGCCTGAGGACAGGGGTGGGGGAGGGGACCCTGGTGTGTGTAGTGGGGTGAGGGCTACAGAGTGTGTGTGTTGGTGGGGGGTTGGTCGGAGGATTTGTGTGGGGGAATCAGAGACAAGTCAGTCCTGGGGCTGTCATCCCCCTGCATGCTGAGGTTTGACCGACAGACTGACGGTCCCAGGTGGGGTCTCAAGAGGAGGGCCTCCGGCCTCACCAGGACTTTATAGGAAACTGCTCAGCCTTCCTCTCCCCTCCCCGCTGCGGGGGCCGCCGGCCCCTCTCCAGGCCTCATCCTTCCTGAGCGCACCTCTCCCCTCCCCCATGGCGGTGCCTGGCTCCGGCCCCTTGGCTCAACAGCGGAGGGGCCGGCTCAGAGTAGAGGGGGAAGAAGGAAAAGATGGTTTGGGGGCGGGAGGGACGCTCCTGGGTTCCGGCTGAGAGGAAGGGGAACTGTTCCCCATTTGGGCCAAGTGGCTCACTCGTGCTGATGAGATAAGCTGTCAGCAATTTGGGGCCGGGCCTGAGGCTGAGGGTGGAGGGAGGGGGCACAGGGGGCGGGGCTGCTCGACCCTGAGGAGATGTCAAGGGATTCCCCACCAGGGGCGGCTTTCTGCTTCCTCTGGTTCCCTCTGGCCCGATCAGTGGTGGGAAGGGGCTGTGGTGGTGGTGGTGGGGGCCTCCTCTGGGCCTTATCTCAGGACTGCGATGGAGCATCTGGGCACCTGGGAGGGGGTCAGAAAGACTCCCCACTTCCCTTTCCAGGAGTGGGCTGGGGGCTGGGAAGTCCAGCTGAAGAACGGGGTGCTCAGCCCGGGTTGAAGGAGCTGTGTGCCCTTACCCCAGCACCCCAACCCGGCCCCCACCAGCCCCTCAGCCCCTCCAAACAAAGAGGCCTAATGAGGCAGCTCTGTGCCGCAGCTGTTCCCCAGTTGCTACTCCTTCTAGAGCCAACAGCTGAGGGAGGGGCCAGAGGGGGGCAGCAGCTGTGCCGGCACCTCCCTCGCCAGGGCCCTCACTCCTTCCCCACCCCTGAGGCCTGGGGTGGCCTCAGGGTCTGGCTGTAGGGCTCTTCCCACCCCTTTGGGGGTGTCCCCAGGCTGGAGAAGAAGGGGTGGCTCAGGGTGGGAGGGAGGAAGCCTGAGCTCCCCTTTTCTGCCTGGCCTGGGGCAGGAATGGGTCTGGAGAGGAAGGTCATTGCTCCGGAGCAGGACTCTAGGTCCCTCTCCTGCCCCAAGCCGCAGTGGACCACTTGCTGTCTGGCCCAGGGCCAGTCACTGGGGAGAGACTTCTCCTTGCGGCAAATATGAATGACACCCCCTCCAACCCCAGCGGCCTCAAGGCCTCCCTCCCACGAATCTGCCCCCCTCCCCCCCCCCTTGGTTTGCAAGAAGCTCTTCTGGGTGTGTGAGCACTGGCTTTGGAGGCTGTCGGGGTGGTGAGAGGCCTTGGGGCACTGGGTGTCAAGACTGTGTGAGAGTATGGCGGCCTGTGTGTTTGAGAGAGCGCCCTGAAGCACCGGGAGGCCGGGAGTGAGTTGTGTCATGGAATCTGAAAGCTGCCAAACCTTTGTGCTGCAGCAGAGCCAGGGGGAGAGGGGGCGGGGAAGGAAGGATGAATCAGTGAAAGGGTGGGGGAGCCAAGGGGGCCAGAGCTGGAGGCCAGAGGGATAGAGAGGCTGCGATTCCCCCTCCTGGGGGCTGGTGGGGATGGGGTGGGGGATGCTGGGGTTCCCCAGGCCTTTGGTCTCCGGACTGTTTTCTCCCAAGATCTAGGGGAGGAGGAAAAGTTGTGTAAGGGGTGTTGGGGGGGGGAGGGGGGTGCGCCTCCAGCCCCACCCTCTCCCATCTCTCAGGCAACACCAGTAAACAAGGCTGAATCTTCTGTCCCCCCTCCCAACCTCCTAAAAGTAGTGTTCAGGGAAGCTGATGGATTTCAGGCCTGCATTGCCCTTTACAAATAAGCTGGCTTCCAAAGACTCATACTGTAGGCCATCCCGGCTCCTGGATATTTCACTCTGGCTGTTGAAGGAGAACGAGGTCTCCCGAATCTTGAGGAAGCGATTCTGGTCCCTAGTATTCCTCCAAGGTGGGGATGGGTGAAGAGTCTCAGCTCCTGAGACTTGAGTCCACACGGGTAACATTCCTCCTGGCTCATGTGAAATCCCACTGGCCCCAGCATTTGAAAACATGATTTTCAAGCCTTACCCAAGCATGCACTGTACCTCCCTCTCCCTCCCCCTCCCCGAACTTTGTTCCAAAAGCCTTTTATGGTGTTCAAGAGGAGAATTCGGCTGGGACCAGGTTAGTTCTAATTCCTCTCTAATTTCAGTTTTTTTTTAATATTCATTCAACTAGTATTTACTGAGATCCTACTAAGTCCTAGGCTCTGAGTGTAGAGAAATAGTGTCTACTGTGAAAGAAACCAAAGAGTACTTACTATATGATTCCATTTGTATAAATCTCTAGAAAATGCAAACTAATCCATAGTAACCAAGGGCAAACCAGTTGTTGCCTGGAAAGGGGGACAAGGAAGGGCAGGCGGAGGGACCACAAAGGGGTACGTGCAAGGAAATCTGGGGAGAGGTGGATAGGTTTATGACTTGTGGTGATGGCGTTATAGGCACATACATGTTGTCAAAGCTTGTCCAGTTTAATACGTGCAGCTTGTGTGTCAGGCACACCTCAATAAAACTTAAAAAATGAAAATGGCGCAGCCCCCCCGCAGAGGCTTACAATCCCGGATGATCGCCAGGGGGCCTGTAGCCGGATGGAGGCCCACGCACGCGCTGTTCCACAGGTGAAAGTACCTGCCGTGGGGCACGCTGTAGGCAGACCCAAAACTTTAGGCCTCTGGGCGCGGCCTTGGCCTTGCTGGAGGGTGAGAATTCGGTAGGCAGAGAAGGGGGCAGGTTCCGAAAGCGGGAGGCCTGACCCCCTCTGCTCTAGCAGCTGCCTCGTGAGCTGAGCTGTGGAGGGCAGCCCCCTCGCTGAGCCCAGCGTGTCCCCTCCACTCTGCAGACAGCAAGGCCATTGTGGATGGGAACCTGAAGCTGATCCTGGGTCTGATCTGGACGCTGATCCTACACTACTCTATCTCCATGCCCATGTGGGAGGATGAGGAGGATGAGGACGCCCGCAAGCAGACGCCCAAGCAGCGTCTGCTCGGCTGGATCCAGAACAAGGTGCCCCAGCTGCCCATCACTAACTTCAACCGTGACTGGCAGGATGGTAAAGCTCTGGGCGCCCTGGTGGACAACTGTGCCCCTGGTAAGTGGACCAGTGGGCCCATCATGGAGCCCTTCGCTGGTGGTGCTGAGGGCTGTGGCTGTCAGAATGCATATCTCCGGGCTGGGGGATCAGGACGGCCTGTGGGGCTTGCCCTCTGCTCCAACTGAGAGTCATTGCTGGTGACAGGCCCTTCCTGCGGGTGTGACAGATACTGCAGCTTGCAGCAAAAGGTTCAGAATTCCTCATTTTACAGACAAGGGCAATGAGGTCCAGAGAGGGCCAGTGATTTGTCCAAGATCACATAGTTTATCTGTGGCAGAACTGAACTTGAGCCCAAGGTCTCAACTTCCTGCTCCATGAGTGTCCTACTTTGCCATACGGGTACCATTTCTGCTGAGCTGAGAGAAAGGAAATATGGTAGGACTTGTAGCAAGAATCCCAGAAATCAGACCCTGACAAGGTTCTTCTTTGTGAGGCTCTGGGAGAGGTTTGAGGAGGGACTGAGGCTGGTGTGCTGCTGCCCAGTGACAGGTGGCCCAACACTGTCCTCTCAAACGTAGGCCCTGGCCCGGTCAGGTGGGGGGGCAGTCAGGGCCCATGAGAAGACTGAGGCCATGACTGGCTAGAGCCCTGCCCTATATGCATCTCCCCTTCTGACTATCACCTCCCAAGAAGATAGATCGCCTTCTAATCTGAGTCGGTCAGCTCTGCCTCTGGGGAGCCATGGCCCCTTGGGAGAATCCTCCCCAGTCTGGGGTCAGCTGGGGAGCAGGGGGTGGGAGGCGGGGGCACCAGCCGCCTGGGAAGCATTCCCAGCTGCTGAGCCATTGCCCACAGCTGGTGAGGCCGCCAGAAGTGAGCTCAGCTGTTCCGGCCGGTCATGGATTCCAGCCTTTGAGCTGGCCCCCTCCCAGCCAGTGAGCATCACCCCTCCTCCAGCTCTGGCCTGGACCAGGCACCCCCTGACCTTTGCACCCCTTGACAGGAGTGATCTGGAGCTGCCTCAGCATTCTTCCCATTAGGAGGGCTGTGTTTTGGGTGGCCACAGAGGAGAACCTATCCTCTCATGACATGCCCTTATGTGCCTCAGTTTCCCCAAGTGGGTAATGAGGAAGGAGAGGGTGTCTTAGGCTCTAAGGCTGACGTGGGAAGTGTTTGGAGCTCTAGGACTTGAGGGAGGCTGTGAGGAGACCTTGTAGAGGATGGCGTCAGAGGCATGTGCAGGATGGAACCTGCTGCCCCGAGGCAGCAGGAGTGAGGCGGGAAGGACTGGGAGGGGGGCGGTCCTGACAGGGTCTGCGCTGGGGCCTGGGCCGGCAGAAGGCTGACTGGCAGGGCTGGTGCCAGGCTGCGTCAGCCAGGGCAGAAAGGCCTCATTGTTGGTGCTAGGGAGGGCTGCCGCGCCTCCCAATGGCGATGGGCATCCCAGCGATGGTCCGTAACGTAGGGGGGTAGCAAGAACCTGGCTGGTCAGGGGCCCAGAGGTGCGCGGCAGCAGGCGTGACCCCGCAGCCTGTGAGGGTGTCGGGTGAGCAGATGCTCTGCATTCTGACTGGCTGCCTTCCCCTACTCATCGTCTCCCTCTACCATCTCTCTAGGCCTGTGCCCTGACTGGGAAGCCTGGGACCCCAACCAGCCTGTGGAGAACGCCCGGGAGGCCATGCAGCAGGCGGACGACTGGCTCGGGGTGCCCCAGGTACACGAACAAAGAGGGTGGGGGAGAGTAGGGGGCCAGGAGGGCCAGGACGGAGGTTGGGTCTATGAGGATGCCCGGTCAAGAGGGGGGAGAGCGGGGCGCCTGGATGGCGCAGTTGGCTAAGCGTCCGACTTCAGCCAGGTCACGATCTCGCGGTCCGTGAGTTCGAGCCCCGCGTCGGGCTCTGGGCTGATGGCTCAGAGCCTGGAGCCTGTTTCCGATTCTGTGTCTCCCTTTCTCTCTGCCCCTCCCCCGTTCATACTCTGTCTCTCTCTGTCCCCAAAATAAATAAACATTGAAAAAAAAATTAAAAAA